AACGTAATCTATGGAGGTCGATCACTTGCTCCAGTGGACAACCGCGACTACCTAAAACTTTTCGCCTGAACTCAGCATTGCTGGTTCGGCTGTCCCACCAGATTCGTGCAATGCTGCGTAGACAGCGATGTTCAAACATCGACAATCTATCTTTGTCCTGTTATAACGTTGTTAGAATGGTTTGATGCCGGGGGAGTAATCATTTCCTGTGTACATGCGATGATTTCCGTTGGAATTCGCACTGTTCGTACGGTAGAATTCTTCATGCTGGTCTTCCGAAAGCCACAGTATGGTCGCGAGGTTAGTGTCTCGGGTTGTCGATGGTCACGCTTCCCTTTCATGTCACGAAATACTCGCATACGACTAAGCGTCTCGAGCATGTGGATAGCTGCTCACGTTGTCGAATAGCTTACACCTTAAGGGGTAAGCGTTTCAAGTTACTGATTCGAAAGTGTTGACTGGAATGGCGGCGTCAATCTTTCGCAGTCAAAGTGTGCAGTACTTGAAACACTCTACCATCTCATTTTGCCTGTGCACCAACTATTGAATCTTTCAAGCGAAGACTTGATGAAATCTTGATAAACCTCGCATTCCTAAACAACTAAAAAAAGCAAATTTATTGAAGATTACATTATCTGCAATCTCCTACTTCGAACTCTATCTGACACTTTATCATGTTTTCGCCAAGAAACGATGCAACCGTGTTAATAACCTAAACAAAAAAAGCATGAGCCGTAATAAAACTTGGACTTTGGCTTCTGTTCCATGAGTGGCTCCATTGAGCCTTGACTCCGTCAATGGAGACCAGTCCGGTAATTTCAGCTACCCAACACCTCAGAATGTCAATAAACTCAGTCCATTCGTGCGCCTTCAATGCTCGAATCTTCAGACTCTGATGCTTACATCATCATCGCTCCAGGCAGTATCGAGTCAATTTGGTCCACGCCAATGACACAGAAACATTGCAAACACTCGAATCGCGCCCTTTGATGGTAGTTAGCCAGTCATCTGAAGGATCCTTACTGGCTGTTGCACATCCAGACCACAGACCATCAACACTCGTCTTCGTGTACATTCTGAGTCTGGAAAAATACATTTGAATTGCAAGGATGATGACGGTATAAGGCGCTTTCATCACCGAAATTCAAATACCCCCTCTGTTGAAACCTCTTCCTCTCTTGTCGCAGATAACTGACCCCTCTCCCTAGAGCGATAATGACAGGTACCGGTTTCTTTTTAGGACTCTATCAACATGGTAAGTTTAGACTTCGCTTTTATTTAATGTTTCATTTTCAAACGGTTTTCCACATACCAATAACCGACCAAATTACTTGTTGACAATCGCGTCCTGTCGAATTCTTCCAATGTTTGAGTTATAGGTCTCACTCACTAAGAGTTCATTTCCTCTCAGGTGGCAAACATGCACTTTATCTGCAACCATCGGACTGGAACAGAGATTTCATTTTGGAACTCGACTGACGATCCAAATATCAAATGTAATGCACCATGATTACCATAGCGCACAGTTCCACGAGGTATGCAAATTTACGGGGTCAAATGTAGTGATGGATGCTTCGCCACGTTGAACAGTGTGTTTCCGAACATTCCTTCACCATCAGTGCTTTGGTTCTGACCATCCCCAAACCGGTGATTGAGATTACAAGTGAATGGCCACATTGCATTCTCTGATCAGATCTCCCTTTGTCTGACAGAATCAACTTCCAGTCAAAAGATGGATAGTGATCCTAATCTATCGACTCGCACGGATCTAATGTGCGAGTTGACTCATTTGTACCTGTCTAAAATGACCGCGTCCTGACAAAAAGATTGATCATAGACACTGTTTGGATCATTGGCTCTGTCGCTCTGTCTGTCACTATTTCGGCGGTGACACTGAGGAGATTTATGGGGTACCTGATAGGAGCAGCACCTCTAACTCGGAGGGCTGTCTGTCGGCCCCTTTGGGGCATCCTCCGTTCTTTGGTCTCCACCAGGCGCCCAGCTCTCACCTGTGGCTCCAAGAAGCCGTTTGGATGCAATGCCGGCCACACCCCGGTAAACCGCTAGACAGGCGGGCCAAACCAGGTTGAGGGTAACCGGGAGCTCAACTCTAACTTACGTGCAGGGCGGATGAAGTCACCTTTACTCATCAGGGATGCATGGATCCCTGTTTGGCTAGGAAGTGTCAATAGCGCACGAGCTCCCCCCAGAGGGCGACCGGTAATCATGCACTACCTTCCTGCTGCCTTGCAGTTAGCGCTTGGATGTGCAAGACTAGAGATGTCACCTCAACCCAAAGCCGAGTGACGCTGGGGATGTTTACTGTACCTAACTCCTAAGAAATTTCATAGATATTCACTTGATATTGAGGAAGCCGGCTTATCCTCTCCCATGAGCCAGACGCCGTAAAGTAAATAAGCAAGTACTGGGGAGATATGCGGGATTAAAACAAAAACAGTGAATCGAGATATATCAAAATTGCACAACAAGTCAACATTAACAGCGAAGCAAATGGACTCGGACAAATGAGCATCATCAACCGTGGAATTGTAAGGAGAACAACGATAGTAAAACGCGCGAGTACTCACCGACCGTCCGAGGTCATTCTGATAAGACACACTTCGGACGGGGTGCCGACAAACGAGCCGATAATGCCCGAGGACACGGCAATCCCCAGTTTGGTCAAGAAACCCGGTGTTTCACCATTCGGACCGGAAAATCGTTCGAACAGGCTTGTGTAGATCCCGAGGCGACAGGTAGAATAGGTGGCCTGGCGAAGCAAACCAGCAGACAAACTGACAGACCGCACGGGGAATTGGGAGTTAGGGGGAAGGGAGGACAAGAAAGCGTATGCCAAGCTTCGCTGATTAAGGTTAATCGAAGGCACAGACGGAAATGTGTCAAAAAAATCCGCCTTCACTGAGTACTCAGGTAAATTTAAGTGTTTCTCAACTTTGTGCTTGGAAAACGGTATCCGAGGCGTTTTGTTAAGTAAGTCGATCAGGTTAAGTGTGCTTATACCTAGTCTCAGGACACCCTGGAGAGCATCGTTTACTCCTACCAAATTTTATGCTCTCTTGATGGGAAAAACAAGTATGTCCGCGTATGTTTCTTGGACTACTTTGCATTGCATTAGCGGATACAAGCCAGTTTGGTTCGGAACGGGAACAAATACGACAATTATGAGCGCCGTGTGTTCGCAACTCGCCGAACCAAAACCACCCAATAGATGTGGGGAAACCCACTTCAAACCAATTGCTAAAATCCGATGTGGTTAATCAAGAGAAGTGAAGCACCGCATGTTAGCCACAGCCTTGGCCGTGCGCGTTCGGACTTACACCTAACCCCACCTCCGAATTGCCTAGGAGAAATTCGTACAAATATTTAATCGCCCTGGTCCACTTCGTCTTCCTCAACACATATGTGCAACGACCCAGACTTAAGGCAACGAGGTCAATTTCACGCAGCCTCCGAAAGCCTCAGTAGGGTGGGGGGGTGTCTAAGATTGTATTA